TTTAAGTGTGTGTATCACTGAATAGTTCTACACAACAACTTTTGGAGCACAATCTGTTACAGTTACAGTTAATTTTTTATAGTTTAGATGCTATATATTTTACAAAACATGATAAAATGAAATTGTTGCCATACGGCAACAGCAAGTAACAATAGGACTGCAATCTAATTAATACACTGTTATGGAACACCTTTTTTAAGTTGATGAATTTATCAACATAATTATTTTCATACTTTTCTGAATTCCAAAAACATTTATGAATAAATATCCATTATGCACACATAGTTTTTTCATGCCTGAATGATGAATGTGGCTACGTCCAATCACAGTGTATTGGTTTACTCTAATTGTATGCATTGCAGATTGTTCCATTCCATTGTCGGATGCTGTTGCCATAAGGCAACAAAACGCAATGTATCCCCACATGAATGAATGAATAAATAAATAAAGTTTTGTTGCCTTATGGCGACAGCATGATACTTTTTGCGTTATATATATTTGTGTGTGTGTGTGTGGTTAAGAGCTTATGATCACAAACCTAACATCTTACAAACATACAATTCAGTGTCCTAACCTTTACCTGCAAACCCCAAAAAATCTCAGATTAAACTAAAGTAGAAAACTGAAAATTGTACTACTTTGGAACTTCTAAAAGCATATACAAATTATTTTACTATTATTTTTTCTTGGTCACTTTTTTAAAGTTGGCTTTGTCAATACAAGCTTATGAGACTTTGAGAACAGTATGAGCTTTTGATTGAGATTTGTGCAAATAGGTCAGCAGTTTTGAGGTTCATGTTGAAGGTTTTGGAAAAACTAAAGAAAAAAAAATCAAGCAATCAGAAAAAACTATTACCTCACCAGTGAATGGGTTGAGAACATCTGTGAGGTTCAGCGCGGCAATAAGAGCGTGTAATGCACGACTGCCTAGCAACAGCAGCTCTCTCTGCTGGGTGAAAAAAAAGCAGCTGAACTGCTCTTACTACCATCTAGTGGTGTGAGGACAACTGGGAGCTGCACCACATAACCTTCAGAAAAGATTCCGATGTTTTGAGAGGAAGTTTGACAAAGTTTTGACTTCAGACTTTGAAGAAGCGCTCAAGTGAAATCAGAAGCTGCCACGATGGTGAAAAGAACAAAGAATGGCAGATCAATCACGCAGGAGAAAATCTATGAAAATGAACACTCAGCTCTGACACACTGCATGACTAAAAGTATCCAGATACGCTTTCTGATTAGTGAAATCACTTACTTTAAGGTGAATCTATTGCTGTATCTCCATAGAAAACTTCAGAGCAGCACTAAGGTCACCATGCCCAATGCTGAGCATTCGCTAGAGGGGTATAAAGCCCCCCAGCACTGAGCTGTGGAGCAGTGGAACTGTGTTCTCTGGAGTGATGGAGCTCCATCCAGTACCTTTGAGATGAGCTGGAGTGTCTAGAACTGATCATCCAAAATCAGTACCTGACCTCACTAATGCCCAATCTAATCTCTATTAAATCTCACTATTAATATCCTTGAATACAAAACAATCTGCAAACTTTTGGACATGCAGGGTTGGTTTCTAAGTCAGGGATTAAACCTAGTCTTTTTCAAAGAAGATTCTCTATTCATCATGGTGTGTAGTCCAGGTCCAGGCTTAATCCCTGTCTGGGAAACCAACCCAAATACAAAAACCATCACCTGTTCAGAACCTAAATTAACAAAAAAACCCTTGTTTGTCTGGCCGGTGCTTGGCCCACGCAAATATGGCATGTGACATTTCCTAAAGAACACATTAAAATTGCCAGTTGCAGGGCAAGAGCCTGACGAAAGAGTTTGGAGAAATGCCTGGCACTCTGCCAACTAAAACAAACAGGAGCGCTAGAGAGGTAGGACTGGAGGAGGGAGGGGAGTGTGAGCTCGTGAAGTTGTCCAGAAAGCGCGCCATACTTATACAGAGAAGAAACTTGGCCTGTACAAAAGACCGTAAGTGTCTTACAGGGGGATGGAATGCACTTAGGTGTTTATCTTTTATATCTATCATGCTAATATCACCTCTTACAAGAAGACAGGATGACTCTAACACTGAACAGTGAGAACAAAACAAAGAAACTTGTGCGGTTTAATTTAAGGCTTGTTGGTAAGCGGGCAGCTTTGGTGCGCTGTGCTCCTTTCGAGCAGGGTCATATGGGCTCAGTGGCAAACTGTGACTAGATTAGAGCGAGGCCTTCAGTTCAGGCCATACATTTAAAACTTGATCCAAAAAACTTTTTCCTGCTTCTCATAATGATGTTAATTTCTGCCAGCGCAAAATAATAACACCATACCATATTGGCTAGTATGCTAGCAAGAAGATCACACTGGTCCACCTAAACTTTTTTGCCCTATTCTAGATTAGACACAGACTCTTGAAGCTGGTAAAAGACATCCATGTGTTTTTGAGGCTTGCAACAGACATTTACATATATTTTATCTATTTTTTATGTATTTATGTATAACTAGAACTTTCAGAGGGCCTTGAGTTTTTACTAGGCCTTGACTTCCTAATTATGTTGGTAGTCAATCTTTCATGTAAGGCCTTCTGTTCAGCTCCTGAAGTCCTAACAAATAGAAGAAATTGCTTGGCTGTATCTACCAATATAGCATGGAGAGAAATTTGCTTCAACAATTTTTCTTATTCCTCTTTGTTTCCAACCAAAACTTACAAGCACAATGAGTCTATTAAGGAAAAATAACCTAAAAATGAGTTTTCATTTCCGTGAAATCATGCATTATCAGTATTTCTCTGAAGACCTAGAAGGTCCTGAAGATTCTCCCACTGTATGAACTATTGTGCTTCAATTCTTTACTTAAACATGTTTACATGTCAAGAATTGGAGTGAGGGAGAAATAAATGACAGAAAATACTGATAAAAGCCGAACAGGATCCGTCTGCGTGAGCGTGTGTGAGGATAAGGCAGCGGAGCAGTTGAGATAGACAGAAAACAAATGAGCAGGATATACAGCTGTTTGGGGAGCTGAGATAAGGCAGTGTGGGTGAACGAGCATGCGTGTGTGTGTGTGTGTGTGTGTAAGGGCCAAGTGTAAGTGAGCGTGTGTGTAAGAAAAAATGGAGTCACTGAAAAACAGAGAGAAGCATGGTCTGCATAAGAGAGAGAAAGTGGAAATAAATGGAAGCTTCAGAGAAGACAGAGTCGGTGAGAGAGAAATGTCTAATGGCCTATATGAAAAGAGAGAGAGAGAGAGAGAGAGAGAAAGAGAGAGAGAGAGAATACATGGAAAACTCTGAGAAGATGGAGTCATCGAAAGAGAGAAAAGCATGATTGAAAATGCATGGAAAGCTCAAGAAAGATGGAATCCAACAGAGAGAGAGAGAGAGACAGAGAGAGAGAGAGAGAGAGAGAGAGAGAGAGAGAGAGAGTGGTGAACGTGGTGGTTGGTAGTCTACTGGCCGTCACCCTGGTAAGCAGTCTCTGTGGGCGAGCTCTCTGATTGGCTGAGCCGCGGCAGTGTGAGGCGGGCTCAGTGTGCGAGGTCTTTAATTGGCTGGACCGCGGCAGTGCGGGGCGGGCTCAGCGAGGGCGCCCTCTGATTGGCTCATCCGCGGCAGTATGAGGCGGGCTCAGTGCGTGAGCTCTGTGATTGGCTGAGCCGCGGCAGTGTGGGCGGGCTCAGTGAGAGTGGGCGACCTGGCGCCGTTGTCAGGATGAGGAAACGGGCCTGTGTTGTGATAAAAGGGAGGGTTGCCAAGGCAACGCGGCGGGCCGTGTGCACAGACAGCGTTTTTTTTTGCGGTAGTAGTGGGGGTTAAGAGAGGGGTCAAATTTCACAGCAAGCAAACATCCATTCTGTCTTATTATCTCCGCCAATCTGTTTTCATAATCACGGCGCGAGGAAGGGGGGAGTATATTAAATGAACTCAGCGTTTCCCGCAGGATGTACTGTATACAACACGGGCTCATAAAGCTTCCTCGTTTCACTGCGCTCAGATTATTACTATACATGGAACTGTTCAGAAGTTAAGATACTTCTCCTTAAACTCGCCCCCTCACACGCTTACACGCCCACTGAGTGAGATAAGGTGGCAGATTTATAGTGATGCTTATCTTGGGGTTTAGTCGAGGCGATCATTTTAGCACATTTTGTTAGCTTTGCTAAAGCACAGAACCATCGGAAAACTACAGTGAACCTTGAAAAAAAAACACCACTAGTTTAGTATTTAAAAGGGAACACCACCGATTTTTCGAAATGTCTGCGTATTTATATCATTAAAATGTCATGAAAGTCATTGAGTAATTTAGTAGTAGTGCAGAGATGAAGTATTGTTGACAGCGGTTTTGACAGGAACCAGACGTCCAAAGCATTTGATGCCTCTAAAAGATGCCTCACAGTAATCTATTACAGGCCTGAAACACTGTTTTATTATAGTTTTGAGATAAGCTTTTGCCCTAAAACGTGTTTTTTAAACCCTTTCACAGTGGAGAGGTAAGAGTGTTGTAAGGCAAACTAGTCCACAAAGGAAACCTATTGTTTTTTCAGATTTGTCACTGTTGTGCCAATCTCAATATTACATAACTACTCATTTATACTGCAAGACACGTAGGATCACTATATTTGTGTTATAGGCATTGCGACCCATGGTTCCTATGTGTGTCACGGTTAAGAAATTTAAATCTGTAAGTTTCTCTACAACCAGCCATTTCATATCCAAACCACTCAATGATTTTCTTTACATCTTAACAATTGCATTATGCAGACATCTTTAAAAACCTGAGTTATTCCCCTTTAAGTCCACTCTCACCACTGTTTTCCTGCTTGTCAATGTTCTTTGAATAGAAAGCTTAAAATAGTCAAGGGTACATAAGTGTTTAAAATCAGCAATTATGCTGTAAGCGATACAGAAATACACCTTCAGAAATAACTCATTGTTTGGAAATAGCAGCCTGAATGTATTTAAGAGAACAATACCAGGAAATTTTGATGTGGACTATTTTAATTGCGGCTATTTATATATTTTAAAAACACTGAAGTCAGAAAGATGATTTAGTCAACTGGTTTTCCAACCGTGTCAGATGCTTTGCCATTTATTGTATAGACGTTAAATTGATTGACAGTCATAGTCTGGTAAGCTGCAGTGGCAGATCTGCACCTAAACATTACAAATCACAACTAAGGTATATGCTGCCCCCTTCAGTTCTGCTGCTGCACTGCAGTGTCACTCTGATAAGGAAGCACAGGCCAAGGGGCTTATGACTGAATATGGTGAGAATATTTGTATATAGTTTATGTAGATGCATATTGCTGTATTTTTCTGCATTATTCATGAATGAGACACATTTCTTTCACACAGGCTGGACTCTCAGAGCTCTAGAGAGCGCTGTCTGGGGTTGGGCAGTGTGCTGAGCTTAGAAAACTTGGCCTCTCTGCCCTTGCCTGCTTGAAGTCCTCCTTCTTTACGAAGAACCTGCAGAGAAATGCAAATGAAAAATTAAACTGCAGCACTGCGTAACCAGTTAAAAGTAAGGTCCGATTGGTATGAATATTTTGTGACAAATACAATACGTATTTTAAGAAGCTAAACATTCTGAAATGCAATAATATCAGCCAATGTAGTTTAACATGGTAAACAATCAAACAGACCCCAGTAGTTTTAGCCAAACAATGCTTGACTGACTAATATCATCAGTTTTATTTATAGAAAGTTTTTTTGTGGTATTATATTATGTCTTTATTTTAGTGCATTCAGTGTTTTTGCTAATTTGACCATGATGGTGTTTTGTATTCAAACTGACCAGCTCAGCCTCTATTACTGTTAGTTAAAGCTGCACTATGGATGTTCTGGGGATTTGGAGACCTCCTCTGGTGGAAATGTGTAATTGCATGCAAAGAACATGTAATGGCAGTTTACAGCTTTGGACCCGTTCCCAGAGCGGATGAATCTCATGATTGCGAGCAAGTTGCAAGAGTATTCAAAGAGAACCCAGTCAAAACTTGGTGAAAGACGTGTCTTCTGAGGATGTAAGTGAATTTATCTACTATTGTTATATCTCCATCAGTATGTTGATTTTACATTTGAGGCCTAAACATCAAGCCCGTCAAGATGGTCCTTCATTTCAGGCCTGTGTGTGTGACATAAATAGGTAAAGATGTATGATGTGGTCAGAAAAACTCCCACAAAATCCGACCTGACACCTCTGACTTTACAAGGTGACTCGCAACAGCGCATGCACACCATATTTTAGTTTTTTTCATAACTCAGTAATGCTACTACTTTCAATTTTTACAATAAAATCTTACATTGTGCAGCTTTAAGTGAGCAGCTGTCAGCACCTATAGAAATGAATGCTTTTTTCACACATCATTGCAATCTGTTTGTTATAAATATGAAATAAAGCCACTGAATATTGGTGCATTATGAGCTGAATTTTTTCAGATTAATCTATAGGACCTCAGTACTGGCTGATTTTATCAACTTATATTGGCTCATATTATCAAGCCCTGGTTTAAACTGGAGAACAATCTCAGCGTCTGTTTCTTCTTACCCCATTTGTGATGCGCCGGCGAAGCTCTTCAAGGGTCAAAGGGTGGTCATCCTCATCTGTGATAAATGACTCTTCAGTGTCATAGTCCTCCCTGGAACATTGCATGTATACACAGTTATGCTTCTTTCATTTTCATAATTAGTAATAAAAAGAAAAAATTCAAATCTTGGAGTTGATAAATTAAATTAGTTGGCAACTAACAGTTGATTAGTTGGTGCTAATTAATTAATGGGTTACTGCTCAGTGGAGAGTTAAAAGAAGCGCAATGGCAGCCTCAAGAACAAAATCCTCAAAAGTGTGGGAGCATTTCAGACTTAACTCCTAAAAAAAGGTTGTCAGTTGTGCTATTTGTAAAGCCAACCTTAGCTGGCATGGGAGCACATCCTCCATGTTGGAGCATCTGAATAGAAAACACGTCAGCTCACTGGATGAAGAAGATTAATCTCAGCAGGTTAGTTGTGCTAGTTAGCTAATGTTAAAAGCCATCCTACTTCAAGTTATGGTCTGTAACTTTTTCTATTTGGAAATGCTCTCTTGAATCGTTAATGGAGTTGGAACGGAGAAGCTAGTAACTAGTATTCGCAACGACCCTGTTCACTTTCCAAATAACTGTTACAGTTACAGCCAAAATGGTTCAAATTTAACTGTTCATAGAGAACAAGCTTGCCACAAATGTTCGCCACTTTCTTATACTATTAAAGTTGGCAAGATCTTTTCTGAGCAGCCCTTCAACATCTGCTCCATCAGAACAGATGTTCTCTACAGCGGGGAATATCTGCTCTCAGAAGAGACGAAGCCTCTCACAGGAGCACATAGAGATGCTGACTTTCCTCCATTTGAAAAAAGACTGTGACTGTAGAAATTAGTTGCAACAGAGTGTAGACAGACTACAGAATGCACAGAGCACAGAGTGCACTGTTTAAATTTAAAATTAAAATTTAGAATGATTTTTTATTTACTTGATTAAAGGAAAACTGATTTAGTTTTGTTATATTTTATTGCTGCCACTTTACACATCCTTAGTTTAAAATTTTGACAGGAAATATATTCTTATGTTTTATTTATGTTTTGGAATAACAGTAAAGTTCATTAATACAGTGAATCTTTCGAACCACTAACACAGCGTCATTGGAGGAAGGTGCAAACCTCTAAATGTGTTACATCAGCTAACAGACATGCTGACTAACACCACGCTAGGTGATAGGGAGGGACGGGGGGCCATCCTACCCACCCAGAGCGAGCAAGGCCAGTTGTGCTCTCTTGGACTCAGGGCCTGATGATAGGGCCATAGCTTAGATGGTTGTGCCACTTGGGAGCCCAAGAGTTCCCAAACAAAGATTTTAACTTAACCCTCTATTGCATGATGTTGCCTCAGGGCAACAAACCCATTTTCCTTACTTTACAATTTGGCTTGATGTGTCAGAGCCCATATCATCACCCAGACCCTGACCTACTTACCCAGTAAAAGGAGGCTGGACACCAGTAGCTTGTTTCTGTAGTGCTGGGCTCTGTCCAAGCAGGAACTGAGCCATTAACTTTGGGTCATAATCCTTATCCAGGTCCTGTTAAAACAGATTTAGATGAATCGGTTTAATCTGATCAGTTTAATCTGTCTGAAATATATACAAAGTTATGGTTTTAAAATGTGTTTCTCTGTGCCTACTGTTGAGCTGGATCACTGAAGCTGGACCAGTAAGAGCCTATATAAACAACTATGCACTGTAAGGTTCTTTCTGGAATCAAAGCAGTCCTTCTGTGGCATCGCTCCAAAGAATATACAGTTTTTTATATTCATTTGGTACTTTTAAGTCAAACGCCTTAAAAAGCAAAACGCCCAGAGTTAAATTAACACCCATAGTGATGTACACTGTGTAGTTAGCTGCTCTCTAGTGTACACTGTACTTAGGGTAGGAGTTAATTTCATCCTGGTGCTTACAAACACATTCATTAGGATATGAAATGTGCTCTTAATCTGAGAAGCTTACTGAAATGTGCTGTAAGAAACTAGCCTATGAAAACGTAAATTCCAAAGAAGATTTGTGTTGAATATGTGCATCTCCTTCCATAACTGTGGTACCTTGGAGTTGATAAAGGCCTGTACAGTGAGCAGCTCATTGGTCCTCTGCTCCACCTGGCTGAGGTAGGTCATAATGTTGTTGTCTCTGATCCCGGAGGAAGAGCCCAGCAAATCCTCCACCACCGCACGGTCACAGTCAATCTTATTAAACACACTGTTAACTCCTGCAAAACAGAACATAAACCATATACTCCACTGTTAAAAAATTTAATCACTTGTCATGTTATTATTTTAAAAAATTATACACAGTAATGATTTTTATTTGGAATATTTATTTCAATACGTTTTGAGGATTATGGGATTAACAAGAATGTCAGGTTTTCTGCAAGCAAAACAGGCATTCTGGATATTAACTGTATCATAACTTCATTATTGATTTTATACAGCTTTTTGAGTCATTTTAGAATCATCTTCAGCTTATATTAAAATTATTTTATACATGTTTTTGCTACATAATTAGGCAAATTTAACTAAAAACATTCATTCCAAACTTTTAAACAGTGATTGCAAGCTTTTGAACAGTAGTGCATACTGCAAGATATTGTATAATATTATAGTATTACACTATTATCATCCAGTTTCAACACACTAAGGTTCTTTCTGAAATGCTACCGTATCATTCCTTAAAAAAAAAAGATAATTTCTAGAGTGATCATGACAGTGCTTGGGGTGAACCGACTAGAAATCACAGCGTGAACACTGCATGTCCAAAAGTATCCAGACACCACCTCTTGTTAGTGAATTAATTTACCTATTGCTTATGTAAGTGTTCAACAGCTTGTATAGAAAAGCACTGTTACGTGAACAGCTGTACATGAGCCTAAGGTCATCAATCAAAATGCCAAGCATCCGTTAGAAGAGTATAAAGGGGTATAGAGGGGTATGAGTGCATTCTCTGGGGGGAAGGAGCAATATCCAATACCCCTGGGATGAGTAGGAATGGCATTGTGATCCAGAACTATTCATCCAACATCAATACCTGACCTCACTAATGCGCTTATGGCTGAATACAATCAAATCCTCACAATAATGTCCCAACATCTGGAGTAAAGCCTTCCCAGAAGAACAGAGCCTGTTACTTAATGGGTGACAAACTCCATATTTGTACCCTTAATTCAGGTTCAATACTGTGTCCACAGTGTGTATAATACTGTGTATAAAATCTTTTTTTATATTTCATGTCACCTGTCTTTATCTGGTCCAGGATCTTGCTGATGGCGTTGGCCTTTTCCTCGGACTCCAGGGCCTCAGACTCAGTGTCTCTCTGCTGCTCCTGCACCTCCCTCAGGGCTGCGTGGTGCTCCTGCTCCTGCTGCAGGCCCTTTACACGAAACCTTTCCATCTCCTCTTCTGTCTGGAAACAGAGAGGGACTATCAGTCAGTGAGCCTGTGCCCCTTTGGGCTCAGTGTATGACAACTGTGAAAGTGATTTTATGTACAGAAAAGGGGAGGTTGGGGGCTGTTTAATGGGGCAGTAAGCATTAGTTTGCTTAGAAATTACTAACAGTAGAATAAATACAAAAAACATCAATACAATGAAGTACTGATTTTACGTATATTAAAGTGTCATTAACCCTTTCCAAACCTCTCCTTTTGGCAGCTCAGTATTAACTGGAGCTATCAACCATTATCTGGTTTGGCTAATTAAATCAGGTGTCCTGGTGGTGGATTTGAATAAATCTATGTGGTGGCTGTAAGCATCAAGGAGAATTTGCATTTATTCTAATGTTACATGGTGTTTTTACAAGCAAAAACCAAACGTATTGCCCAGATCATTTGTTTTAAATAGTTTGTTTAGCTGCCTAAGACACAGTATTGTATATTCTTACATTCAACACTCAAGATGTACATCTCGGCAGGTTGAGCGACTTAATAATGACATTTCCCTGAATTTGTATTTGAGCGTCTATTTTTCCCTAAAGACAGCATAACGTCATAATAAGTTTATTTTCTGGGAATTTTTATTTTGAGACATTCAGGAGGTCTAAGAGGTTAATTAGGAGATCTTGGACCCCCAAAGACTCCCTGTACTTCGCACCTTGTTTTAGGCCAAAATCTTACATAAAAAAATATTGTCTGGGGTATCACGCTATGTATTTGTAACCATACTATGTAATGGGCATGAGGTGACTTTTATAATTATTCAAAGCTCCAGATTTCTATCACCACCACTGTGAACAGTTCTGACTATAAGCTACTATAGAAAAGCACATTTTACATCAAATTATTCTGAATGATTTTTTTTTGCATCAGCTGATCAAATGCATTATGCATGAATTTTGAAAAATAGGTGCAATTCCCCTTTAACATATCTTACAGACCTACTGTATTTAGCTGTATCACAATGCATCGACTTGCTTCTTTGTAAGTGACTGGTGTAATTCTGTGTTCCTTAAAAGTAATTAATTTAGACAACTCCCTGCAAGTAGTGCCAAACTACCATTATATCTTAACAGCAATGTGAATGCTATGAAATAAAAGAAAGAAGTGCTGGAAAAGGTTAATCGATTTCTTCAAATCGAAAAGGCAACTGTGACAAACCGGCACAGACGGACCCGTTGTGCCTGACAGCTAAACAATTAACCTGAGTCATTTAGGAGATTTTATTAGATGTGGGGGGTGGGGCACTGATGCCTCTCATGGTCCATATGTGAAAGTGATGGTGAACAGCACTAGAAAGCAGTATGTATATACAGGGCTGAAGGACTGACCTGATTGATTTGATCTCTCAAAGCCTCAGCCTGCGTGTTCTGCTCATTCACGTAGTTAAAGAGAGCAAAGTTTTTGTCCTCAACTGCAACACAGAAAAACAATATCATATTGCAACACGTTTAACTAAAAATAAAAGGCTGGCCACACACTGTTTTTGAAGGAAGGCTAAATCTTCGCATGGTAGGTTTGAGAGAGCTCACCCTGGATAAATTTGCTGACCAGCATTTCCAAGTCGTCCTCGCCTGTCACCTTCTGAATCTTCTGGAACACTTCCTCAAGAGTCTCCAATGTCTCCTCCCCAGAGTCTGTCCTCCGCTGTTCCTTCATTTCTGCCACCATCACCAACATAGTGTCCATTATTTAATAACATTTTAAAACAAATGTGTACAGTGTTTAGACTTTTAGCACAAAGAGGTGTTCTAAATACACAATCTATATCTCAGATTTGCCATGTTAAAGTGGTGATAACACAAAAAGGCTATTTGCACCTTTAAATCTGCTCTTCTCCAATAATAACTTACCAAGTTAATATCTTACAAAGCTGAATTTCCAAATACTTTCACTTTGTTTGAGTCACAAAGTACTGTGTTATGACCAAGAATATTCACAGGAACCTCACACTTCAGATGCATTTTAAATACACACTGAATTGTGGTCTGGATGGGGTGGAAAGGTGCAGACCTACGCCATCTGCTGGATGCATCAAAATGTTCTGAATCCCCATTCATTTCACCAAAGGGAAATTTTTGATAATGGTTTAAAAAACACTTTAAATTGGAAATTTGTTGGAATGGTCAGTATGTGACCACACAAGCACAGCAGTTGCAAATACAATATAATAGCAATAAATCTGGAGCAAAAAATGAATTCCCCTGGTCATATTACACATACTGTTGACTTCCTAAGTGACAATAAGTTAACGCATCCTCTATGACAGTGCTCACCAACCCTTCTCCTGGAGTTCTACTTTTCTGAGTTTAGTCCCAACCAGCATCTAACATACATGGAGCAGGTCTTTCAGACTGTGGTTGGAACTAGACTTTGCAGGGAGGCAGATCTCCAGGACCAGAGTTGGTGAACTTAAATACGGCATTTTCTTGCATATTTTATTTATTACACAATTTGTATTTATTTGCTGCCTTTTACACATAGGAAAAACAGCAAATAAAAAGGAAAAAAATAAAACATCAAATAAAAAATATGCCATAACTTTTACACAGGCCACATTTTGTGTTTAATTGTTTACTAATATGTTAAATTCAGCAAACAAGAGGGAAATGTGCATTAAAATGTGCAGTAGTGTGTTCTCTGTAGAGGATGTATTGTTAATGTATTTTCACTTAAAAATATACAAAACATTTAAGGTTGCCAAACGTAAACTACAGTGCTGTTTTATTGCATCACCACCTAAAGCAAAATGGTGTGGTGCTATTCAACAACAACTACAATGTGCAGCGCCTCAAATTCATTGTTAACCTACATATTGGATGTAAACAGCAGAGGGGTGATTTGACCATGAACCTCCTTACGTCTGTGTACACATGCTCACAGAGCATCCAACAATAGCATGAAGCTGCTTTTATATAGCGGTAGGCAACGCTGCAGCCCACAGAAAGCTCCAGCTCTACATGCACGCGGCAGAAATACTCTCACCTTGTCTGCGGGTGAGATCCTGCATGTCCTCCTGGCCACTCCTTTCATTGCATTTAGTGGCCATGAACTCTTTGAGGCGGCGCTCGTGGGCAATGATCCTCTCCAGCTCCTTCACCTCAACGTTATACAGCGCCAGGTCCTTCACCGCCTTCTCCTTCATCATCGTCATCTTTGACTGGGCTTCCACTCTGAAGAACACACACATACACACATATTACTCACACACATACAGTCGTATACAAAAGTTTTGCCACCCCTGGTCAAATGACATATTTTGATAATTTTCTAATTGAAAATAAGTTAACACATTCTCTACAGAGAACACACTTCTGCACATTTTAATGCATAATTACAGTTTATTTGCTTAATTTGCCATATTGGGAAAAAGCATAAAATCTGGCTTGTGCATAAATTATGGCACATTTTATATTTCCAAAATGTTAAATCTAGCAAATAAACAGAAATTGTTTACTAAAATTTGCAGAAAATGACGTATTCACCAAGTTTGTTCCCAGAGAAAGAAGATAATCTCCGTTGAAAGTGGGGATTCTAAACTTTCAGTCTATGCCACATTTCTGTTTGTAAATAAAAGTGGAAATAGTTTATTATGATTTGAAGTGTGTTTTGTTTTGTGGAACATTTCATCTGTTTGGATCTTTTGACATTGAATCAAACTGAAAAATGTCAGAAGTGACAACTCAATCTGTTAATACAGAATCTAAAATAAATAAATATGTAAATCAAACAAAACTAACTAATTTTAAATTGATAGATTTTAAATGGATTTTAAATCTATACATTCAGTACATTATGCAAAATATGCTGGACCGCACTTGTGGGAGACCTATATATTAATTAGTATGCCGCAAACTAACCAAAGCAAAGTGGAAAGCTCCACTTTGATTCCCCTCTAGAGCCTCCACTGTAGCAGGAATACACAAGCAGTCTGACAGTGTGAGCGCATTTGTTGGAACATGTAATATGAAACCATGTTATTTTCATGTTCAGGTTTACATAAATTCTGTTTTCACATGTTGACAATAGTTTTACTAACATACTGAGAGTTACAAATGCATTCTTATGAAACCTATTTTGCCTACTCATATAGCTATAACAACATGTGCTGCTATTTAGCGATTATGCAATGCAATTAATCATAATTAACTACATAAAATAATAATAATAATAACTGTAATTGTTTGACAGCTCTAATAATTGTATAATATCAACTGAAATTCTAAGATTTACCACATAAATAACTATAAAAAAGCAAAGTAAATTTCTTTCACCTGGCATCATAAGCTGCTGTTGACATGCGGATGACATCACCAATGTCCTGCCGAATTTCCTGAAGCTCCTGAGTAAAAAAAAAGTTCCATGTTAACCCTTCAAACTCATGCTTTTCTACTAATGTACATCAGCAAACCCCTAGTCCAGTAGTAGTGACCTTGTCTAGCCTACGATGCAGCTGCTGGAAGCGGACCCTCTCCACGCGCAGGGTCTCCAGCTCATCTCTTAGCTGGCTGTTCTTGGCCAGCTGCTCATTGAAGTGAACGAGAGCCTGCAGGGGACGTACCAGACAGAAAAAACAGCTATAAACAGACAATATCCTTCAAAGATCTGGGGACACTTTTTTCTTTTACATTCACATTTCATTATCACTGAATTCCACTTTTCTCAAGTAAGAAAAATATCTGCAAAGGTTTTGTTAAGATGAAACAGCTATTTGGTATTTCTTTGGGTATATTTAGCTTCCACACTCAGCTTCATGTTCATCTTTCTCGATATGAAGAGCGGACTTTGTCAAAATAATGATAATGATGTTTTTTTTTTTCAAACTATTGTTAACACTCTTTTGGTCCAAAGGTGATTGAAACATGATAAGTGCTGACATCACGACAAGGGAATACAATCTGTGGGCTTGGCAATATTCCCAAGACAAGGCTTTGCTCATTTCTTTTCCTCAGTCTTCCTCAGTCCTCCAGTCTTCCTAATATCCTCCCATTAACTTTTCTTTTTAACAATGTTAGCACTTTTAGGTGCAAATGCAAACATGCTCAGGCTGACAAATTGTCTTTGCCACTTGATTCTTATCTGAAAAAAAACAAGCTCTTGAAAAAACAAACTGCACAGTAACTTTGTAACTTCTCATCAACTTCAAATCATGAAATATCTCCTCCTCTACGATGAGCTATTAAAGAAAAATAATATTAAATCATGCCATGCATTTCTTTACGACACTACTAAAAGTCAAAGGAATGCTTCAGCAGGAAAATCAATTTTATACAATTTTCCGTTCACCCCAGATGTAGTCAATCGGCTGAAAAATGTATGGAGTCCATATTTTGCTTATTTAGTTTCTCTGAACCTGCTCAAACTGCATCCAGGTCTGCTTTAGGGTCATGTGGTTGTTCAGGACACAGTGTAATAAAAATGAACAAAACTTCATTGTATAGCTTAAGTTCCTGCTGTTTCTTTTTATAAATAACTTTTAATCTTGAATTTAAGCTAAGATATATGTGTTCATGTGCCTGGATGGTGTGCATGCATGCAAAAAGGAGCTGGAGTCTGCTGGGAGTCGGAATCCAGAATAACACTGTTTTCTAACTGGCTGAACTCAGTGTTCGGCTACAAGGTTTTGTTGATTTTTATAGTTCACAGTAAGTTGTACTGAGACATAAACCACATCAACAAGTCTGAGCAACCTTTATGAAGGGCTGAATGTGGTTTGAGTGGTTTCAATGAAATTTCAGGGATCTACAACTCCAATTCCAAAGAAGTTGGGTAGCTGTGTAAAAAGTAAATAAAAACAGAATGCAATGATTTGCAAATCTCATAGACCCATATTTTTTTCACAACAGAACTTATAACACATTTCAGATGTTGAAAGTGAGACGTTTTATCATTTCATGAAAAACATTAACTCATTTAGAACTTGATGGCAGCAACACATCTCAAAAAAGTTGGGACAGGGCCGTGTCTACCATTGTGTAACATCCCCTCTTCTTTAAACAACAGTCGGTAAACGTCTGGGAAGTGAGGAGACCAATAGCTGGAGTTTTGGAAGAGGAATGTTGTCCCATTCTTGTCTGATGTAGGATTCTAGCTGCTCAACAGTCCTGGGTCTTCTTTGCCAGCAAATAAATGTAAATAAATTGACATTTATTTACATTTTACACAGCGTCCCAACTTTTTTTTAAATTGGTGTTGTATTTATAAAAAAGATTTGGGTGACTATTGACCTCTAGTGTTTCTTAGCAATGTTAGTCTATTGCTAAACTGCAAGAAGCTGAACTTGGCTGCTGATTGACCACATCTGGAAGTGGAAAATTGTGGGCATTTTTTCCCCTCTAAACCATTTCTTTAGCTTTCGAACAGAAAAGATTTCATCTGCAGCAGCACCTGAACAGGAAACTGTTCTGACTTGTTCACGTGCATAATTATGAGTCTTCCTGCTCACCCGGTCTAGTTTATTCTCCAGGGTACGACTGGCCTTCTGGGTTTGCCGGGCCAGAGACTTCTGGCTGTTGGATGCGCTGACCTCTCCTTTTCTCAGCTCTGCCAGTTTCTTCCCGATACATAAGATCTAGTAATAAAACACAAACACACACCTGCAAAAGTCTAGAAATGAAACAGCACTGAATGCTGAATATCAGTTTTAAAAAGTAGTTAAAAAATTCCCCCTTTCACACTATAACACTGTATTTCTGACACACTGTATGACATACAGTTATCTACAGAATTGGAGAAAAGTGTGGAAATGATTTAGTCTTCATGATGAATGCTAATATGTTTTAGCTATGCAATGGACTTTTGTCCATTTACAGATAGCAAGCCATACAGTCTCAGAAACCATACATGTAGGTCTATTTAAGATTACCTTATGCCTCGGCATGGTTTGAAGGAAGCATGAGATTATTTAGGCATGCAGGCTGCAGCAGGCTTGGTGGGTTACAAGCTTCTATTATGTGTTAGCTACATTAACAAAACTGAAGTGCAATTATACAACAGTTAATTCGGGCCACGCAAGCTGATTGGTTGAGAAGCGTTCTAACCGTGCTGTTATTATCATAACGGCATGTTTTTTTCACAAACAATGTATCACTCCACTGAGACACCGTTGCTAAGCAACCACTTTGACAGCTGTAGGAGACACTCAAGTAATTTAAATGTTTTTACTTCTTACTTTGCCACAAACAGAAAATGGATACTTTTAAGATCACATTTGACCGACAGCCGATTTGGTCAGACTCTGAAGACGAGACAACACTAAATTCCCAAACTGTCATCACCACTGAGCAGCTTTTCAGTCGGCAGCTGTGAGAGAAGAACAGCTAAACAACCTGGAATAAACCAGAAATGAACCGAAAACCATTCGCCAAACAAATTGGGCTGTAAGATGCTTTACAGACTAACTGGAACAAAATAACATTAATACTGATCTGGCAAAAAATGACAACACTGAGCTAAACTTAATGTTGCAGCAGTTTTATGGCTCAGTCTGATTTGGTCAGACTCTGAAGATGAAACTATAAGTTTGGTGAATGGTATTTGGCTCGTGCCTGCGACCAAATCACAGCCATGATGTTATTTCACAAAAACACACTCCCTCTCCTGTTCTATTGCTTAAACGTCAAACATCAAACATATCTTGGCTGATCAATTACATTTGGGGTGGGGGTGGTGGGGGGACTGTGTAAACTGGCTTTTTTGCCAAATCATCCCTTTTAAATATCTTCCAGGTCTGACATCAAATCTTTGAATGCGTTAATACCAGCATGAAAAAAGCATGCTGCACTAGGGGACACAGACAGACCCACAGGGGACTTGAACCCTTGCCCGTTTGCCCTCAGACTGTACAAGTGCTCTCTTGATAGGCTTGTGGTTCATTTGGTCTGTGTCAGTCAGTTTATTTCCTGTTGGTCTTAAGCGTGCATTAATAGTTTTAGTTTTGTTTTTATTTAGTTTTGTTTATAAAAAAAGTCATAGTTTAAGTTTTTATGTAGGTCCAGTTTCAGTTTTTAGTATTATTTTGAACGCTGTGATAGTAGGTAGAATAAAATGAACACAACAGTAGATTGAGCTTGGCTCGGCTCCAGCTTTCCTTAAAGATAAGCCAACCACAGAAGAATTCCACTTCTATACTCTCATTCAAACACTAAAAAAAATGAAAACTGAAGTTTTTTCTCAGTACGTCTGTTTTGTTTTAGTTAGTTTTACAGTCCAAATCATAGCTGTCATGCTTTTGAAAACTGTTGTTTTTATTTTACAGTTAAAAAGCACATTTTTTCACTCCTAGTTTTTGTTTTTAGTAATAGTTTTAGTTAACCATAATTGTGATCTCAGAGAGGATCAGCTCCCAGGAATAGAGCTTGTAGTGACTATGGGAGAACCAATTTCTTAGTCACCTGCTCGGGTGGGTAGAATGTTCCTTTACGCGTAACCAATAAACAAAAGTCCAAACTAAAACTTGCTGTTGGGTGGTGTTCCTGTTTATTGACACATTTCTCTATAGCAACAAACTCTTTTACCGGAGATGATAAATTATGGTCACCAGTGATGAAGATAACAAACTTGAATTGTAGTATTATAAATCCAGTCAACGCTTTGTTTGTTACAGCAATTGTGGTAAGAACCATATGTTCCCGCCACCTGAGCTCCCTCATTCTGTGAGTGTCCTGAGACTATAAGCACCTGACTCATCACCTGACCCGTCACCTAGTGCAGCTCGCCCCCTAGTGTTCCCAAGACAGTACTCAAATATTTACAAAGACAAAATTACACGGAAGCCTAAACTGGCTCCTACAGAGCTTGCGGGTGATTTTTCTTTCCACAAGCTTCATCACTCTTGAACGTCCCCCTGGTGCAGTACCGACCACGGAAATTTCACCTCAGTAACTCCAATCTGTCTCGAATGCAGGCATCACCACAGTGCAGGAAAAGCTACAGCTAGAACCCTGAAGATGTCTTTCAGAAAGCGCCACATTACGTAATGTGGTTATTAAGAATAACAACTACAGTAAAAAAAATGTCGCTAATAACTTACAAAACCATGCTTTTGTTGTTACAAGGACACAGTAATTAAATAGTAACGTTACAGCCATTTATGCTGGAAAACCACATTAAAATAGTAGTTTGGTTGCCAGGCAACACTTAACACTACCACTGTCGTGAAAAACTCTTAAACTTCACATTTTTCTTCAATTCTGAAACATAACTACATTGTCTCTCTTCATGAAAGAAGTTGCAAAATACTTCTTATTAAATTAAGTTTAATATACATTCATGTTGCGCTTTTTTCCTCAAGCCACTGCTCTCCAAAATGTTTTTGCATGGGCCTGTTTTGGCTCGTTGCTAGAAGTTTTGATTGCATTTATGTTTCATCTCCGACTTATGAGAACATATTTGAATTGTAAATAGCTCACACTGATGAGCATGACAGCGACTGCATGAGTGAGTGTGTGTGTGTTGGCAGGTAACCACCTCTTGCTCCAGCTCCGTCTGGCTGATTCTCTGTCTCTCCAGCTGCTCGTCCGGCTGGTCTCGCTGGGCCAGGACAGTCTGCAGCTGCTGGACATCCCGGTTGTCGCTTTGTTTACGCGTTTGGCTCTGGGACACTCGCAGACTCCTCTGCAGCTCCTCCTGCTCCTCCTGCAGCTTCTCCATCTCCACGCTGAGGAACAGCACCCACATATTTATTTTTATATCTCATCGTTATGTTTCATATGTATTATATACAACTGTATGTGAAACATTTGGGAATTCCTGTGTAAATTAACATATTTTTTGTTGCTTTTTTGAAGTTAAAAGAGGTAAATGTGACCTCTGCAGCAAACAGTTTTTAAGAGTTATATTTGGCAAATGTAAAAAACTAAAATAAATAAATAAATAAATAAAATAGTAATTCTGGCAATGTATCGTTGTAAATTTTAAGAGCTTAAATAACTCACTAGAATGTAATTAACTGGTTAGGCAGGTCAAGAATTGCCATGAGGAACTGTCAGCTGTTCTAGTGCGTAATAAATTCTCTGATTCTTCAAACTCCTTCAACACTAAATGGCTATGAGCTCCTCTAAGCATCTGTTTGAAGATCTAACTTTTAAATAAAGCAAAAGGCTATAAAAAGATTAAAATGCGTCCAGCTATCCACTGTCTGAAATGTCATCAAGAATGGAGGACAGTGGAAGTCAAGGCAAGAACACTTAAAGACAGACTTCCTCATATGCAAAGCAAAAGCCTCATATGACAGCAAAGGATCTGCAGCAAGGTTTAGCTGACCTGAACCTGAACATCAAAGAAAGTCTATGGGTAGATCTTAAACATGTTATGTTAGACAGCCCTAGAATACTGCAGAAATACAACATACTATAAGGCAGTGTGGGTGAAAACTCCTAAAAAAAGAATAAAAAGACTCTCAGCTGGCTGCAAAAAGCATTCTGTCATTGCATAATGATGTATTTGTCATGAAAAACGCACTTCCTGTTAATGGTAAAGATGCGACTGTAGCCCTAATGAAAATATATGAAAATGCATAGCAATTACTAAAGCATCAGTGATTTAGAGGGAGACGCTGTGTAGGCGCAGTGACTGACCGCTGTTTGCGAATGAGCTCCTGTGACTGAAGCCTGTATGCCTGCCGATCTCCTTCCATGATGCGGAACTGTCTCTGCAGTTTACTCATCTCAGCCTCCACTGTGAAACACACACACAAACACACTCCAACTGTATCCAGTTCTGTGTCTCTATGTAGTTGCTATAAGCTGTTCATAACATCTCACAGTTACACTAGTGTGTAAAAGTTAGGAATCACTTTTTACATTTGTATTTTTTGTGATTTTATGTACAATAATAACTTATACATTGTAGATTTAAATATTACACAATAGACGCACTTTAGATGCTTTATTCTGTATATAAATTTTTCCAGGAGCAATAACGTTATTAAATGATAAATAATGTATTGCAATTTCAAAGAATTGCAAAGAATTAGCACGTTAGAAAATCATTCATATTATTGAAAAAGATATAGGAATTGCTGGCTAATGCTGATATCTGGTATTTTTCTGTACATATCTGTCAACGTCTATACATAAACATTCATAAAATGTAGAAATTGGCACTACATCCACCAAAATCAGCATTATGTAGAAATATTAATAAAATAATAACAATAAAAATGCAGTAAAATTAATAAAAGGTACATTTTAGTGCTCTTCTGGAATATAGTACATGCATCAGAGTTCGGCAATATGACAATATTTCATTGTTGTTATGTTACTGTGGATATTCTAAAATCACTGAACTAAGAGGTTTTGATAGTAGTTTTAAAAATCTGGCAATACTCATGCATTTTGTCTGTCAAAATATCATGATATGTAACGTATGTTGTAAAAATGTCTTTACATGTCTTTAAGTGATATAATATTTTTGTATAATACAATATAATATAATGTTTTTGTATAATATAATATTTTCTAATCTAATCTAAACATCTGCCTGATATCAATAATATTTTTAAACATTTGTCTACTAATACTGATCTGGTTCTGACTTTACAGACTTTTAAAGGAGATTCCGAGCTTCTGAACTGTAGCGTTCATGCTTTTACATACTTACCAGTTCCATCAATGTCCATGTCACTGCTGTCAGAGTGAACACTTATTGCTGATTTTCCAGGAGGCATGTTGACAGGATCCAACTGCGGGACCACCGACAAGACAATTTAAAGACTTTGAGGGTACAGCAACACAGGTGAGCAGTACATAGAAAGGGAGCAGTAGTGCTGCGAGATATATCATCTGTACCGTAATATTGTGATATAAACATACCGTGATATTGCTTTTCAGTTTTAGCGATTTTTTTGGTGACACATTTGACTACATTATACATTATATTGACCATTATATCCATAATAAAGTGCCCCTAAAATAGTGGTGTCCCTGTTGTCAAGTTGTTTGTTTTATGTTGTTGTTGTTCTTTATTCTATGAAATGCACTTTATTCATGGTTTTTTAGGACCTGACTTAACTGCAGCGTGGGGCATTTACAAGATGCTTCAGACTGTTTCGAAAGAACAGTTCAAAATACATAAACAGTAAATGAATAGCACGATTTCCTTCTGGAAATGTGGCTTCTATCTAGTTGACTGTGTATAAGTTAGTTCCCTTTGGTGACATTTTATGAAAAGAAAACTTAACAAATACTTCATCAAAAAGCTATATCAGGTTAACAGAACATTCATTTAACACTGAGTAGCTAAAGCTTTTATTCAGTAAGCCTGGGCTCATTAACGTTATTAACGCTAGGTTAACTTAAATATGATCTGATACCGTGACATTTAAGTCATGATAGTGAAGTTTATCAATATCGACCAGCTCTAGAAATGCGGGAGCAACAATAGTGTGTAGGCTAAGACTGCTTACTAGCTAACGTTACTTTGGTCTCAACTTTAATATTAAAGACTACTAAAACACAGAAACCCTGGGTTACCGTAACTAGTAACCTAACAGTTTAAGTATAATTCTCCAACAGGAATGACACAGGCTCAACAGTACACTACAGTGAACACAAATTGGTATAATTTAAGAATAAGTTATTCAATTTACAGACTCAGGTCTTCAGAAAGTACAGGGAAACGTCCGTTAGCTTTCCTAGTTAGCTAACCTGTTTTATTTAATAGCGGACGGCGTCGTTTTACTGTGGTTAGCTTACATTACAAACACAAATTTAGTTCTCTGTTGTCTAATAAACCCATTAAGGCTTTAGTAAAACTAAAATATGTTCTCAGAGACACAACCATTTAAGAACTTGACTCCGAAAGCACAGAGAAGAAACAGACGAGTAAATTCGCAATGTGTTTTATCAGTAATGTAATGTAACATATATTCCTGAGAGACGATGCGTCCCAAACAACATAACGAGCTACATTAGCTACGTTTGACGTAAGTAAGTTAACTAACAGAATATAACTGAATATTTTAAAACAGGGGCCAAAGTAACTGCACACGTGTGCAAATCCCACCTTACCTTCAAAATGGGGGGCTAAAAGAACTCCGACAGCACAGAAAATACTAACTTTCTCTCGGTTTCCTCTGGGAGGGTCTCTGTTCAGCCTCCGGAGAGAAAGTTGTTAGCAACCGTCTCTAAGGTGCCAGTATACAGCTACGGCCACAGGGGGCGCCAAATCTCAAGATTTGAGAGAATACAGACTGCTACACAAATTCAAGTTGGACTTTATTTCAGTCAGGAAAAATCTTTAAAAATATAATAGATAAGCCTGCTGTACAGAACTTGAGTTAATTTCAATGTTTTGATAAACATTTGAAAAGAAAATGTTAGCCACGTTATCAGAAGAACACCAGGCCTCTCTGTGAAGGTGAGTAACACTAGTAAATTTACTCCGCTATTTCTGTGAGGAAAGAAATCTACTTTTCATCCACTTGCATTCAGACTAAATTCGTTTAGTTTGTCATTTCGTTTTTGTTGTCTTTATTTCTTTCTGTTCTGTTGGTGACAACACCTGAACTCACACCTCTCACTTTTAAGCTTTAGCATTTCATTTTAGACCAAAAGGGCACTTTCTGGAAATAGGATTTATTTTAGGCCTCAAAACTTTTTAAAAATGTACATTTTTCTTTGGTGATTTTGGACAAAGTAAGCGCTTTTCAGCATATACAGCATTTTTTTTTTAACACTGTTACCATTTCTGGGAGATGTATTCATAGCTTTTAAAAGCCTGTGTCGATTAAATGCATTATTTTCTAGCAATAATACATATTTATGAAATGCATTAAGAACATTTAAAAAAAATAAAAATGGAAACTCTACTTGTGTTATCTATGCTTCAATTATATATTGCTTCAAAGCCTTGAGAGGTTTTTTCTTAAAAGAAAAAAAATGTGCAATTTTTTTTTGTATTTGTAATTTTAACTAATGGCCCTTATTACCAAATAACATAACCTACTAAATTAAATGCTTAAAAAGACTATTTTTACCAAAAATGGCTGAATGACAGTGTTGAAACCTGAATAACAGTGTTAAACATATAGATAATATTCCCCATTAAGATGATATTAATGCAATAAAAAACATACAAATATACAACATAGAGCAGAATGGAAGGTTGAATATTAGAAAATTCAAATTTTTTCATTAAAATCTTTGTTTCAAGCCATTTTTATTTTTAAAATAATTGAAGATAAAAAAAAAATAAGTAGGGTTAAATAAGCAACATTGAGGAGTGTTTAGCCTGATAGGTGCATGTGTTGCATTCTAACTACCAACAACCACATAGTTAACATACATTAAAAAATATATAACTATACGTTCTTTTTTCTAACAATAATGGTGATAACAGGGTTGAATGGTCAAGCTGTACTCATGCTGCCAAATCAGTTTTTTGTGTATAAATTAAGAAAATAACATGAGAATACTTACTTGTCTGATGGTCATTTGGCAGAAAAAACAAAAAGATGATACAAATTCCTGTTTATATCATAATAAAAGGAATGTTTCATTTATTTAAGAGGGGAAACAGATTTGGGTTGGGCAGGGCATAAAACCTGGAGCACAGATTAAAATGACTTTTGTTGAATAAAAAAAATATAATAGGCAAAATAATTCTTTTAACATGAAATTGCTTGGAAACAAACCAAATAACATTTCATGATGGTTTTTATGAATATATTTAATAGAGAAGTTTGATGTCAGTGAAGTTGGACAGCCCAAAATTACCATATTAAAAAGTGGATACGGACATTTTATGTGTTTTTGTGATCATTTAAAAGCTAATTTTGATCATTTTATTTTAGGTTAAAGTACAGATCTCTTTATTTTTTACAGAAATAAAAAAACAGTCACTTTATTGCTTTTAAAAAGGTAACGGGATATAAGTTGAACTCTATTTATGGAAAGTACTAAAAAAAGACAAATAGAGCTTAATAAGCCTTGCCAATGTTTATAGATGCTGGATGTAGTAATAAGCTGCACGGCATTTCAACAGACCTCTGATCTTGTGCATCATTTTGTGGTCAGGTATTCTTGCTTACACAACCTCAGGCATCTATTGAGAACTTTTTTATTTATTTTCTCAAGTTTTTTATTGTATTGTCATTATTTCATTAAAGTAACAACACTTTTAGCTGAGGATGGCTTTAAGCTTCTCTACCCACCTCAGCCTATCTGCCTATTTATCCTGGGTCTCCTCTGGTGGTATTGGTGGAGCTCCCTCCAGGAAAGTACGAAAGTAGTCAGGTGTGTTAAGGTCTGGGTGCTTAACCAACAGATAGCACTTTGGGCCGTAATAAGTTCCCACCAGTGCCATGTTACTTAGTAAAGTAACCACTACTTGAGCAATAGATTTGTCTTTGTCACTGAGACCTGCGTAGATGGGAATAAATATGACCCATGTCACACAGTAGGCTAGGCTGGAGATAGTGATGTCTCTAGCGAGGTTATACTGTTTAACTGGCTTCATGGCCATGAAGGTGCACATGAAGGAGATCAGAGACAGAAGACCATTGAAACCAAGCATTAGGCCAAAGTTCAGGACAGGCTCCACAGGGCAGGACAGGAACCTTGTCAGAAAATTCACTTCCAGTCTGGCCACGTAATGGGTCAGCGAGGGCCCTTCCCTCATAAACCAGCCACAGAGGCCCATCTGAAGCCCACAGCAAGCCAGCACCACCATCCAGGTGCCAGGTCCTCGCAGGTTCTCCAGGTGAGTTGGAGCTCTTTCAGGGAACTCTGTCACACAGACGATCTGCGAAGATAAAAGAGACATATGTTATGCTCTTAAAGGCCCATATTCGACATATAAACAGTCAAAAAGCCCACAGTCTCGCAGTACAGGCTGCCCTGTATTGTTTGAGATACAGCCCAAACTGTTAACACTTTAAATTCCTTAAGGGTCTGAAAAAAGAATCAGCCCTAATGAAGGCAAAATGGACTGTTTCCACAGCTTATTTTTCCATATATGGGCTGTATGGACTAGGGAGTGAACATTAATTTTATTTTTATGATAAGTTTTCTGTTCCACTGAAGAACAGGGTAAAAGGGGGCTAACAAAGTGTGCAGAGAAACAGATGGACCACAGTCTGTAATTGTAGAACTACAAAGTGCACCTATATAGTAAGTGGAGCTGATAAAATGGACAATAAGAGTAGAAACAAGGACATAGTCATGGTCATAATGTTATGCCTGATCGGTGTATGTATGTATATATATATATATATATATATATATATATTCTTTTTTCTAATAATAATGTTGACAACAGGGTTAAATGATCAAGCTGTACTCATGATGCCAAATCTACCTTTAATTTAACTGAAATTAAATATTCTACACGCTATTAGGAGATTTGACATTTTTAAGCTACCTGTAGGGAGATTGCCAGGATGGTGGAGAGAGTCACTGTGGGGAATACGGCGTTTAGAGGTTGCTGCAGACGGCACGCTGTATCATCCGGCTGACCAACAAACAGCACCAGACTGACACAGCCTCCCATAAGACATATCAAGCTCAGGCCACTCAGAGGCCCTCCAGCGGCGCTCACCATTGCCGTCCCTCTGTGTTTGAAGAACAGGAATCCCACCCCTGCCTGGCAGGCCAGCAGGAGAGCCCCTGCCAGAGCCAGTCCTATTGACTCATAAGAATTCCAGGACAGGTATGTATAGGTGGGCAGGGCACAGCTGGTGCTGCGCAGGGTGGACCACTGGCCAGATGGACATGGTGTGCACTGGACATCATCTTTTGAAGGAAGTTAGATGTGTAAAGTAAGCAGATGGTAAAATGTCTTTATATGTTAAAGTCAAGTGCTTTGGTGTGTGTGGTTGAAGTTATTAGTGTACAGTAGTTCCTGAACAAAGTATCGGTTGGCTGATAAAATCAGCTGATGTTGAAGCTCCACAGATTTATTGATGTTTGCAAAATGTAAACCTAAAATACCATAATAATAAAACAAAACTTTTAAAATGCATCCAACTTTTTATAACATGTGTAACTTTCCAAACAATCTGAAAGGCTGACTTGTCATCGCAAGAAGTTGCCAGTTTTTCTGGGCATAGGTGACACATGACTTCCTCTGAGCGATCGAAGGTCACACTCATTCAGTTGTTGCTTTCGGCCTTGTCTTTTATGCACAGAGATTTCTCCAGATTCCCTGAATTGTTTGATGATATTATGCACTGTAGAGTGTTTAATACCTAAAATTCTTACAATTATTTGTTGAGGAACGTTGGCCTGGAAACTGTTGTATTATTTTGCTGACATATTTTTAGAAAAGTTGCAAACCTCAACCCATCCCTGCTCATAAAGGACCTTTTCCCAAGCATGACTGAATCACCTATATAAGAAGTTTTTGAACATTTCTCAACATTCATAGTCTTAATTTGCCTCTGTCCCAACTTGGAATGTGTTACAGGCATCAAATAAAGAATCGGCGTATGTTTCCAAAACAAAGCTAAACATTAAATATCTTTTTTTTTCTGTTCTAATTTAAATACAAGTGGATCTACAAATGCTTTCTCTTTTATTTTGCATTTCACATACTGTCCCAACATTTTTGGAATTGAGGTTTGTACACAGACAAACTGACTGTAAAGCCTTGTAGGTGAAGTTAACTCACCCGTTTTGTTCTGGTAGGTTCCCTCTTTGCAGTCAATGCAGTCGAAGCAGCAGGAGTGAAAGCCTTTAACTATGCGTACTTGTCCTGATTGGCAGTCAGAGGAGCATGTAGATGTGGGAACCTGTCACAGATATCACAGTAACATTTCATCTAAGATTTTGAGAATTCTGATAGAGATTATTTAAAGGTGTGTATATCACAAAGCCTTAATACCACAGAATTCACTGTGTGCCATGGGATGAGCTGCTTATTAATTGTGATGTTCCGGATGAAAGTCCCGATGTCTCGGAAGGTCACGGTGTTGTTCTGAAAGATCCAGACCACTAAATCATAGCCGATGGACGGGTTTCCCTCATTATCAAACTCAATGTGTGCTCCGTTCAGGGTCAGAGAAACCTTTTGTAGCTTCTGCAGCACCTGTGGACCAGATCAAAAGGTTCTGTCACTGTTTACTTACTGCCATGTCATACTGTTAGTAGCCTGACTGATATGAAAATTTTGTCACCCAT